AAGATCGTAGCTTTAAATAGAGTATACGATGCTGCTGTACGCTCTTGAACGCACGACTGGGATGAAATGAAAAAGGTGAAGAAAATGAACGGCGATCGATCTCGTGAAAATTACAAACAGTTCTGTGAACAAACATTAACGGGGAATTCCCAGAAATTCCAAAGGCGAGTCAGGTTCTAGTAGGAGTAAGCACTCACTTGGCCCTGTTTATCAGTTACTCCAACCGTAAGTAAAATAGATTGATCAGGTAAACTGAAGATTCCTTAGTCAAAATCAGCATAAAAACAAAATCTAACTATTGAAATGAAATATATAAGGTTAAAAAAACACTAATGTATCTATTAGTCTCCCGGGAGATAAAGAAAGTAAAGCATGGAAATAGGTCTTGATCATTAGACCTCTTCATTTTGTGTGATACAGACATGCACCAGAAGGATCGATACTATAGTCGAGAAAATTTACGGAAAGCTTCTAATCACATGAAAATCAAACAAAACCGATAATGCTTTCAATTTTATCATTTCCTCAGGTAACTGTCCTGTGCATAAAATATAAATTAGATTTAGATCGGCACACATATTACCATCATCGAAAATACACTTGACGTTTTGAAAATAATATACAAACTGTGTATCGTGCCCTTTTATGCGATAAGTAAAATGTAATGTTCTTAAAGAAAAGGGGCAACCTTTTGTTTTGTCGGCTGTAATTGATAAAGAAATTTGTATATTACAGATGAATTTTTTTTTAAGATGTACCTCATGAAAGTAAAATAACTTTGTATCTCGTAATTTATAAAGGGAAATACCATTCTGATAATCACATTCAATCATTATCAAGTAAACAGTTGTAGTTAACTTTTAATTCTCAAAAAACTTCTCTCACCCAAAGCCCACACACCGAAACATGACCTTATGTTTGTAGAGCAGCCAAGTCGTTCGGGGCTGCAATACCGACCAAAGAATTTACGAAATGTCGACTTAAAAAGCGATTGTTGAAATCCTTCCAATATCAACTTATATATGAGTTTAAAAATTGACCGTACTTAGCAAATAAATTGGGAGAAATAAATATAATATGCAAGTGATAGCGGAATTTTACCTCAAAAATAAGGGAAGTCAACGATAGAAACACTGAGATCATCCTGTTTGTGATAAAATTTGACACTTAGTTTCGCTTTGTTGTCTTTTGTCAGTAAAACATCCATATATGTGGCAGACTCTTTGGTGTCTTTTATTTCACGTTCGCTAGGAGTCGACATAGGAGTGGACTAGAATTTTTTAATTGATAAATCGTAAAACGGTTTCTTCAAGAGACTGCATTGAGTCTTTTAATTAGTTAAATTGAAGTAATGCAGGACCCCCTTGTTATATGAACAAACGCTTCAGCTCAATAACCGGGCAGGACCGGAAAAAAAACAGTCTTGTATATTTAACATTTTCTGCCCAAATGATAACCCTTACGTTTTGAGTTACGGGTATCAACTGTATATCTTTATCATCAACGAGAGACATTTTCATGTAAGTATGTTTTTCAATGATATACGTTTTTACTTACACATTTCACTGGAATCAATATGGATTGTTTGTCCTCCAACAATTATTTTGTCTACAGAATATCTTCCAAGCACTTCAAACTTTCCAGGATTAACGTTTAATAGTTTTTGCACGTATTCATTCTTCATTTCAAAGACTAAATTAAAGCTACTTGTTTGACGAATACCGTCCAGTCGGAGACAGTCCTTGCAGTCTGTAGGACAACCAACTAATACAGCAATGGTCTCTCTTATTTTTTCTGCATATTCCCGAGGATAATTTATAATATTTTCAGATATATGGAAATGCACATGGGTGTGGCCATTGACTATAATTAAAAATATTTATAAATGATAAATGTGAAATGTTGTTCAAGGCAATTGAATCATAACATAAAGTAAGTTGCATGCTTTTGAATACCTGGTGTTTCACTTTCTGCGAAGTAACATAAGGCTTTTGAATCCTCAGTTGCATATTTAATGCACATTTTCTCAAGGTCTTCACGCTTTATGCGTCTTAAAAGAAGTTGCATGAAAACTACGTCGGTACTGCTAAAATAATTTTCAGACAAAAGAAAACTGAAGAAGTCAAGCAAAGTATCGAGTTCTTTAATTTTACTAGAGTCTACTTTTCTGTAGCCTGGTAATTCTGAAAAAAAATAAAGAAAAAAAAAGATTTGAAGATTCCGTAATATTTCATTTCGTTCATTAAACATGATATGAATGAAAATTTCTGTTTGCTCCTGTTAACAAAGCATAATGAATATAAAACTGAACCAAACCCCAATTCAAAAACACTTATATCCACGTCTTACAAAAATAATTATTTCAAAATGTATTCAATATTTATTATCATTCACTTGTGATTTAGAGCAATTTGTGTTGCACAAGTGTTATATATATATATATATATATATATATATATATATATATATATATATATATATATATATATATATATGTGTGTGTGTGTGTGTGTGTGTGTGTGTGTGTGTGTGTTCCAAGATATTTGCTCTATTTTAATTTCATAAAATTTTAAAAAATTCGATACATTTTGAGAATAATAGTTGTGAATTTGTGAATTGTGAAAATTTATTTATTTATTTTTCTTTTAAAAATTATCCCAAAGATTTAGGAATGTACATACCCAGGCAATGTAAATAATATTTCAGCATTTTTAAATCTCCATCGGTCAAGGACTCTCGAATACTATCGCTGAATAGCAGAAACTTTGCTTTTGATGGCCCTTCCTTATAAAACTGGAGTATGTTTTCTACGAATGTATAGATAGAATATAATACATACTTCTTATGTTTGATATGAATAAAATATTCCCGTATATAATTATTTTCTTATAATTTGAGACCTTTTAGGGGCATGTCTTTTCCAAAAAGATGGACGTTAAAAAACACAATATTTTCCACTTTTTTTCTTATTTTTTTCTTACTGATTTTGTGCATACGGTAACATGATCAGTACGTACTGGCCCCTGCTAACAAAGCAGGTAACAACGTTGTCTTTGTTTGTGAGGCTCACTATATAAATTGTATCTTAGAAGATCTTGGATTTAATTCTACAAGTGGTAATCCAATTTATACTCGCATCGCCTTCAAAACAAAAGAGCTACGTAATGGTCAAACTCACCGATCCTCGCGAGGAGCATCGAGTAGCTATGTACAGTTCTCTATCTACGGAAGGAATTCTTAAAAATTTTATGTCAATATTTTTAAGATCCCAAAGAACCAAAATGAATTTGAACTTCCTGCAAACAGTATCCATACAAACAAAGAAACACACCAGCTTCAATCAAATCTTTTTTTCTTTTTACCTCACTAAGATATTAAAAGTAGTGAAGAAACTTCAAGGGTACTGTGCAACACTATATATTGGTCGATACAATGACTTGTCAGCATAAACAACTTATCATTGAGTCAAATACAGACTTTTTCATACTATTTGGCAGTCCATTATTTGTACACTGCATTGACGATAGATTTTTCAGTTATTTCCCGATCATGACAAGGTGATACCGCGAGTGTGACCGATCGGCAGGGGATGCTCACTCCCCCATGGCACCTGATCCCACCTCTGATGTTTGGAGGTCTGTTTTTGCTCTGCCCCTGTTTTGTATTGTTTTATGAACTTTTGATCTTAAATATTGTTTGTTATCTCCATATGTTTCATTTAATTCATTCAAGTCCCTTACCTTGTCTTTTAAGATTATCTTCTTGCCGACATCTAATATATTCCTGAACTGTAATTGATAGATTATCAAAATTATAACATAAACAATGAAAATATTTAAAGGTACATACTTACTTAAGACTGATAGACTTACCGTCTACTATGACGTCTGCCTTTCCTATAAAATTTTCTGCAACAAGCTTAATCTTGTGTAGATCAACAGCCTTGCTTTTTTTAACCACCAACTTTGGAAAAGGACACAAATTAGAACTATCTTGATACATCGAATCACGAATATCGATAGGAATGCACTGGGTTCCATGATCGGTGGTAATAATATTTTCCCAGCTCAGAGATGTAACAGATGGAACAGATATGACTCTTGCTGAAAAGGTTGTCGAAATTTCAGTGTCTGTGCCTTCCTTCAAACTTATTTCTGGTGGACCTTAAATGTATATTTGTCAACAGATGTACGTTTAACTCCGTATTTACAATAAAAGCTTAATTACTGGCAATATTCAAATCTATTGATCAGTAGATTTAAAAAATAGAAATTAAATTTGATAACTAATCACAAGCAATTTTTGTGTTATCATTTTGACCCCAGATTTAAAAGTTTAATTTCTCTAAGAAAGATAATTTAGAATTATAAGGGCCAAGACGTACAAATGTTGGGAAAACAATATTTACTTATACTAAGCACGATAATTTCTTTGTTAATTTGGGCTGATAAAATAAAATCCATGAAAATATAATGAAGGTACTTCAAAAATTGTTAAAAGTAAATGGACATTTTTGTTTTATATTAAAGACAATATGCAGAATCTTATAATATATAATGTAAGCCGGAATTGAAACAAAGGATAGTTTCCGTTGATCAAGATAAAAATACCTAATTGAAGGCTGTCACTTTCAGTCGTTCCAACCAGATTTCTCACCACACATTTATATATCCCCGCATCAGACGCATCAATATTCAAAATGCAAAGGGATCGTCGATTTTTCTGAAGAAATTGATATTTTTGAGGTTTTTCTGCTATTCGTTTCCCGTCTTTTGACCAAAGGATCGAAGATAAAGGAGGAGAATTTTCATCAATGGTTATATCAGTCATTATCCATAGAAATCGTTTTTTTAGGTCAGTTATATGACCAATGGTTATCCTTGGCACAGCTAAAAATAACATTAACATTTCTTTAAAAGAATTGAAATTAAATTGAAAGTGACATGAAACATGGGGATAACTAACAGTATTCAAAATCAAAAATCCATGAAATAAAACTGAATAGGAGCAGAGCAAACAAGGATTTCAAAAACGTCAGAGGTGGGATCAGATGCCATGGAGGAGTGAGCATCCCCTGCCGATCGGTCACACTAACCGTGTGCTCCTTGTCATGATCGTGAAATAACTGCAAAATCTATCGTCAATGCAGTGTATAATTAATGGACTAACAATTGGTATGAAAAAAGTCAGTCAGCGTTTGACTAATTCATAAATTGTGTCTGATGACAAGGTCATTGTATAGACCATAGAAGTTACAAAATGAAGACTTTAAACGAGACTGCTGGTATTCTTGTTTCATCAATTTGTTTGTCAATTATTTACCTCGATTTAGAAATTGTTCAACGTAGAGCATGCTCTTGCGTATCGAATCAACAAAGATTATTAAACTCCGTATGCAGGTGATGAAGGTATATTGCTGCATAAGTAAGGGAAGTTGATGATAGAAAAGTTAAAGTCATCACATTTATCACAGAGCTTGGTTGTTATTTCATTATACACAATAGAGTTGTTGTAGTAAGAATACTTACATCCCAAGACACGTAAAACAAAGGGATCACTTCTGACCTCCCCAACGGCATTAGACACAGCAAAACAATAATCACATTGGTCTCGGAAATCAGCATTATTGATGATAAGCATCGATGTTTGGACATGCAAAGTGCTTCCTTGATATTTGAAAGTTCGAATATCTATATCCATTGACTTGTTTTCATCATATTTAATCCATTTCTTCCCTAAAATAGGGAGATCTGATTTTATTGTTGCACAAATTTTCGCTGTGTCTCCAAAACGGACACTTATAGGTCCCGATAAAGTTACGAATGGGATTTCTGGTAAATAAAAATAAAAATATGTATATAGGTTGAAGAATGTAACATTATAGATTAGATAATTGTATATAAGATGACAAAGAAGATGCAATAGTTAAACATGATTTCTTCGGCTTATAAAAATAAATGTTTACACATCTTATTCATATCAACTGTAAAGGGAATTAATTTCACGGGTTGTAATTTTCACGTTTTTCTCTCATCTGACACGATCGCGGTTTCTTGAATTCGGGGAATTGGTATATTATAAAAGTTACCTGCCTTATCAATAAATGTTTATACCATAGCTACATATAAACGACAATAATCAGCGTTTTGTCGTTATTTCATGAACAACAGAGTAGGTTAATATAAAATTGTTAGATTAAATAAATAATTGACAATTAATTAAAACAAGTGCAGTTATCAAATGTCCTTGACTATAAACGGTGATAAATGCATGTACACCCCAAGATCTTTAAATACAATGCTGCGAAAAACCACGGGACGGTAATAAATATGACAGTGTTAATGTAAGTCGACGAAATAATATTCTTCCACATCTTCAGTAAGTTCGATAGTTGATTGAATGATTATTTAAAATCAAAATGTCGATAAAAACTTATACACTGTATGCATGATAATGCAGGTAACAAATAGACGTCGTAATATTAGTTACGCACGGGTAATCAAAACCCATGGCCCACTAACGTGTTTTGATTGATGAAACATGTAGCGTTGGCTATTAAAACAGCTCTTTAACATATACGGTTTTTATCTGCTGAATTGAATTAAAGTAAAGCGTGATAATTTAAATAATTCAAGTACTACTTGTAATTACTGAAATGACCATAAACTGCACCAACAAGTATATAAACCTATCGTAGTCTATTCTCAAATGTCCAAATAAAACATGGAGATTTCTGAAACTTAGTCATTGTTTCTCAAATTCAAGGATTTATTAACACCATGAAAATAGCGAATATTAACACCTAGTGTTATCGCCCCCCCCCCTATACAGTACAGAAAAATATATACAAGGAAAGGCTTCTTACTTCCTGAGACCATCAACTCAATTTGGTTGGAGTGGATATGTGTCTGATTGAGCTCTAGCATGATTGCTTGGTATTTTCCATTATCCTCAAAAGAGACATTTCGAATGATAAGTTTTTCATTTAAGCTACCTTCATATTTTTCATTTTTTGTATCAATTTCATGCGAAACGGCGCCTTCTCGTCTAATCCAGGAAACAGAATGGATGTTATTGTTAGATTCCCCATCAAACTCTATGTAAAATTCAACATCTGTACCATATTCCACAATAGAAGGACCACAAATTTTAAGTGTTGATGCTTTTAAAAAGGAAAGGAAAATTAATAAGACTATGAAAAATTAGAAACAATGATTTGTTTTCAGTATTAAATACACTGACAGTATTCAAAATGCTTTTCATCTAAAAGTTTTTACATAATTATATAAGAGAAACCGTTCAAATATATGTATTTAATGTTTTATTTGAATAGATCTGACTGAACTTATCTATTTTGAGGGGTTTTGAATGTTCACATATGAAAAGTTAATTCAAATCGTATGAATAAATAAAAATAATTATAATAGGTAAATATATGATATAACATTTTAAACGAAAGTTGTTTTCGAAAAAGAAAATATTTTTGAATATAATTTGCTTTAATTAAACACTGTTCGTTATAATTTTCTTTAACAAATATTACCTTGCCCCCAAAAAAGATCAGGTTTTCGACAAAAATGTTTAGATTACACCTTTGATAAAAACAATCCAAAGAAGATAAAATTCATAAAGAATATTTCTTGCATTATTAATTCTTTTTTGACATCTATGTACAGAACTGTCAAAGGCTTTTATCTTAAAATTTTCAAATATTATTATTATTTCTGATATATATTTCACTGAATTAACTTACATTTCTTTCTTTGTTCTATGACTAACGCACCCACATTTTTAGACAGTTCATTTAATTCTCTTCGAATGCATTGATTTTCGGAAGCAACCATGGCTTGATAAAATTCTATGGATTCTGTTCCTAATTCCTTTCTAAGAATTTTGTCAAGACCATTATGATAAGGTTTTGAAAAGGTTTTTGTTTGAGTTTCCATTCTTTTACAAATATCTTCTAGAGAACTCCATAGATTTTTAAATTCTGAATCTGAAATAAACGCATTCTTCACATGTGCGAATGACTTGTTTCGTAGGTCTCTAAGCCTCGCAATGTCATCTCCAACTAAAACTTCACTGGCGGATGGTGTAGCTTTCCATCCTTTAGTCGGTGTGAATGCAGGACAAAGATTCCGAATAAGAGTGTAGAGTAAAGTAACATCAAAGCACTCATAGTCAGGGTCGTTAGCTGATTTTGGGCAGACCAGATTGCGCTGGTCTTGAAAAAGTTTTATAGTACTGCAATTTCTCACTGCTTTAGGTAAGTCATGAGGCTGGATCTCACTCTCTAAAAGTATTCTTAAGATCCGTGGTATCTCTTCTACCGTCGCTATTCCGAAATGAATGAAATTTTGTTCATCTGTTGACAAAAGTGACGTTGCCATAGCTGATGTATTTTATGAATTCTACACTCTCCTGTAATAATGATATAACAATCAGTTTATTTGCATGTTGAAAGTGATGATATAATATTTATAAGGTAAGCTGTCGATATGACTTTTTTTGCTTCTTTATAATTTAGCAAATAAATAGGCAGATCGATATTCATGTTGCTTATTTACGAATAATTTAATTTTGTTTGTATTCTAGCCTCATTGGTTGATTTCCAAAACGGAACGAAAATTATTCTGTATAATCTGGTTTGGTAAGGGGTTCACACCCCCTTGACAACCTGCTGAATCATCTGTATCCATGCAATCCCCTCATTTCCAGTCCTCAGGATTCATGGAAAATTGCAAATTTAATAAATGTACCTTTAACTTCAAACAGTAGCTCGATCTTACTCCATGTAAACAAACATCATGGCTGCTATGTCTTTGTATAAGTTATTACCTCCATTGCTTCCCATCACTTCCGTTACTAAGGTTGTATTATTAAGCGGAAAATTTGAACTCATAAAATGCAATACATTCAACAATTGTTTAATTATATAAAAATTAAAACATAAAGAATGACATTCATTCTTGACCAAATTATTCGAGTATAACCTGGTTTGGGTCAGTTTACGTTTTTTTCTATAATACCTCTTCGTGGATTATAAAGCGTAAACTGACCCAAATCAGGTTATATTGAATAAAAGTCATTCCTTAAATTAAAAAAAATTACATTGTTATTGTACTTTCAGAAATCAAAAAAAAAATTATTACCTAAAACTTTATATGCAGTGTAATTGTCGCTCTACCACTAGCATACAATTTTGTCATGTTTTAAATTTGCCCTGTACTGATTAATCACATTTTAAGGTGAGGAAACTAAGATTTATAAAGAAATAAATAACAAGTGTGAAGATACATATACCAACGTTATTTGAAGTTGGTCGATCACCGTATCAAATCCTGTAAAGACGACCCACTTGTAGTGGAACGGAGAGTTGTCTTTCCTGTGTTTACTGATAATGTTAGGAGTTATTGCTCTTTAGTGTAACTCTCCTGTGTTTTTTGTATTCTCTACCTGCGTTGACCCAACGTGGAGCGGTCCCGCCACATTTATGTTTTGTGCAGAATACCTCTGCTACTTTGTTCCATCTATGTCCTCGCAAAATGTAAGTTATTTATACATCATGTTTTCATAAGTATATGTTGCAATAGCATTTTCAGCACGCATGGTTATTTATCTTGTAAAATAATTTGCCTTGCTTCTTTATAAAGACCGCCATTTTTTCTCGTGTTTACAGGGTGACTGGAAAAACCCGAAACCCCCCGATTTTTGGAGAATACCCATACAGGAGGGGTGAAACCCCAATAAAGTGGTGGAAACCCCATAAAATTGAACGTAATGGGGTACAATAAGGCATAAGGTGATGTTTAATTGAATGATATTGACATCCGTAAATTTTTATAGCCAATTTTACCTCAGAATCGACGCAAATCGGCCGCCAATACGAGTTTACCGTACACCACGCCCGATCTAAATTCGAAGCGAGCTGTTTGTCAATATAATTGTATAGATAATATTAAAATAATTCATAATAATTTCCACAATCATATTTGTTTTACAATGATAATACTAAAATATTGATTATGTAATAAGTATTTAAAAAAAAATTTAAGGACGTTCGCCATTAAGAAAATATGAATTTGTGTATTAATTATTATTCATATTATCCCAGTGTTACCAGCTCTAGCCACGTGGTGGCCTCCTTTTTGTAGAGCCATAATTTAAAAAAAAATTTCATTTAGGATATTTGAGAGAAAATCTGAATTTAGAGATATGAAAATATCCAAAAGCTTCAAAGCAACATTAACAAAAAAAAAAGTAAAGATAATTCATTACTTATTTGTTACAAAGAGAACAAAAAAAAAAAAAATAAAATAAAATTCAAAATATGAAAATACTGAATTTATTTCTGAGATTTTAGACAAATTCTGAATGTAGGGATATAAAAACTTGAAATTCAAAGGTTCAAAGCAACAATAATAATTAAAAATAATAATTACTTATATGTTACAAAGAGAACAAAAATAAATCAATGTCAAAAGATGAAAATACTGAAACCTGAAATAAATAGTAAATTAAAATAATATATCAATTTTCAAATATATAGATATTTTATTTCAAAGTAACTTTTTTATGTTCTTTTCTTAGAAAAAAAAATTACATCAGTTTACATTTTGAATTGTCTTTAAATTACAACAAATACGAAATAAAAGAAAAAAAACAGAAGAAAAAAA